TTCTCCAGTTAAGTTGATGATGGTTATAGACTTGCTATAAAAATGTCTTTTTTATATTTATGTATATCCCTTGTATATTTGATATCTCTTAGTCTTTAATCATGAAGGAGTTTGGGATTATATCAAAGGCTTTTGGTTTTTGTAGATTCTAATGAGATATATGATCATGTCAAGGTTTTCTTTTTTCTGTTTTTTTTTATGGTGGATTATATTGGTAGATTTTCATATATTGAACATTTCCTGAATCTCTGGGATGAAAACTATTAGAATATAGGTAATTATGTTTTTTTGTATGTTCTTTTTGTTTAAATTAAAACTAATCATATTTTGCATGCCAATCCCAGCAATCCCATTTCTTTTCCTTACTTCTTCCCATGTGCTCAACCATACACGCAGCAAAACCCATGTTGGGCCCTACCCCTTGGAGATCTGCTGACCAGCTTGTTGATCAACTGCTTACCATGTTAGAACATCTTGCATCCTGAATTCTGAGATAATCTGATCATAAGTTCCTCTTTCCACCCCTTGCTGAGATACCTTCTGCTTATGGGAACTCCAACTTGTGACCCTGATGGTTTTCCACATGTGCTTTAAGCCTGTATATAAGCCCGTCTTCCTTCAATAAATAGCATTCGCTTAACACGAATGACCCACTGGCTTATCTTCTTTTAAATCCTCAGCTCCTTGTTTACCCATTGGGTAATGCAGTAGTGCAGGCACTACAACCATATATCCACTCCTCAGGGAGGGTGAGGCCTCCAAGGGAGATCATCAAAGTCTGTCACATCATTTTGGGCAGAACCTAGGCTCTACCCCATGGATCTAGGTATGTTTTTTTTTTTTTTTTATTGCAATCTGAGTATTAAGTATTTTTGAATCGATGTTCATGAGGGAAATTTGTGTGTAATTATCTTTCTTTATTGAGTCTATGTGAACTTTGGGTACCAGGGTGACTGTAGACTCATAAAATCAATTTGGCAATATTGCTTCTGTTTCTATTTTGAGAAATTATTTAAAGAGTAAGATTATAGCTGTTCTTTGAAGGTATGCTAGAATTCTGTGCTAAAACTCTCTGGTCTAGTAGTTTGTTGCCTGGGAGAATCTTAATAATGGCTTCTATTTCATAAGGTATTAAATGTCCATATAGATTGGTTCTCTGAACTTAACTTAACCTTTGTAAGTGGTATCTATACAGAATGTGTCAATTTCTTTTACATTTTCCAATGTTGTTTTAGAAGTATGCCTACTGATTATTTTGTTTTTCTAGGTATCTCTTGTTAAGTCCCCTATTTTGTTTCTGATTTCTTTCATTTTAATAATCTCTCTCTGCATTTTAGTTATTTTGTGTAAATGTTTGTGTATTTTTTTAATTTTGTCAAAGAACCAACTCTGTTTGAATGATTCTTTGCATTCTTTTCTTTGTTCTGTTGGTGATTTCAGCCCTGAGTTTGATTACTTACTGTTGTCTATTCCTCTTGAGGATGTTTGCTTCTTTTATTAGTAGAACTTCCAGGTATGGTCTTGTGTTGTTGTTATGAGAACATTATAATTTCTTTATGAAGATTCTTAGTTCTCTGAACTTTCCTTTTAGCAGTGCTTTCTTGTCCTTCAATATTTGGATATGTTGTGCATCCCTTTTCATTGACTTCTAGGATCTTTAATTCCGTTATACCTATCTTGACCCAGTGGTCTTTCAGTACAGTTGTTCAATTTCCATATTTGTGTTTTCCTTCTGTAATATTTAAATCCAAAAAAATCTGTGGTGATCTAATAAGATGCATGGGGTTATTTCAATTTTGTTGCATCAGGTGAGATTTGTTTTGTGATCAGTTATATAGTCAGTTTAGGGGACTCTTCCACATGGTGCTGGGAAGAAGGTTTATTCTTTTGTGAAAAGGTGAAATGATCTGTAGACATCTCTTCTAATCTCTTGAATTATGCCATCCATTAGTTCCATTATTTCTCTATTCTTTTTTTATGTTCACTGGTGAAAGTCTCCCACTCTCAATGTGTGAACTTCAATAGATGGTTTTAGTAATATTTCTTTTACAAATACATGTGCCCTTGTTTTCAAGGCATAAACATTAGGAATTGACATTTCATTTTGAAAGATTTCAGTGTTGATATTTGTTTCTTATGTGCAGTACAAGGGTGCATCTTGTTATCACATCCATTCTGTTAGCTTGTGTCCTCTTATTAGTTATTAAATTCATTAATATTGAGAGATTGAGAGATATTAATTAAAAATTATTGTTAATTCCTGTTTTTATTTTTTTCTTGTTGTTGTTGGTGGTGGTAATATGTGTGTTTGTGTTTGTGTGTGTGTGTGTGTGTGTGTGCATGTGTGTATGCAGGTTTATTTGTGTGTGGTATGCTTTCATTTTTGGTTTGCTGGTGTGAAAGCATTTATTTACTATATTTTATTTGTTACAGTTAACCTGCTTGAGTTGCAGCTATCTTTTTAGTACCTTCTGTAAGGATGGATTTCTTGGTAGATACTGTTTAAATACAGATATTTCTTCTATTGTTTTCTTATTGCCTTAGATTATCTTTCCTTGCATTCTGTTCATGATGCTGGTGTCTGTAGCTCATACTCAATTGCCTTGATTTTTTATCTCCATTTTCCTTAAATTTATGTTTTCTTTATTGCATCTATTTCCTTTTTGTTGTCTGGAACACTTTTATTCATTACCTTCACTTGTTTGTTTTTGTTTCTCTGGATTTATTTAAGGGTTTTGCTCATTGCTTTTCTTAAAGCCTCTGTCATCTGCATAGATGGATTTAATGTATTTTCTTGTCCTTCAACTGTGATAGAATATTTACAGCTTCCTGTAGTAGGATAAACTTGTCTCCTGTGTTGCCATATAACCCAGTGTGATGTTGATTGTGTTCTTAAGTTGGCAACTAGTCATTTGAGTTTGGGGTTTATGGTGATTTGAACAGGTATGGCCTCCATTGATTCATGTTTACTTGTTGGAATAGGTGTGGCATTTTTGGAGGAAGTGTGTCACTGTAACAGTAGGCTTTGAAGCCTCATACATGCTCAAGCTACACCCAGAGTAATAGACAGTTCACTTCCTGTTGTCCAAGATTCAAGATGTAGAAATCTCTCTCTCTTTCTCTCTCTCTCTCTCGTTCTCTCTTTGGCATGTTTCTGTGTTTTGGCAGGCTCGATCATTTTCTTTATGGGTTTTTAATGTTAATGAGTGTGCACATTGTGATATGTCTTATTTATCTCATTTCTTATTTTAAATTAGGTCTTGAGAGTACATCAAACAAAATCCTATACTGCTAATGTTTGGAGTTGAGTCAAACATATTATGATCTTTTATTATCGTTAAGTTTCACTAGTGGAAATTGATATACTGGTCACTGTATGGAGATTTTAATGAAGTGAACATTGCTTAGGGAATTTCATATTGACAGTGGTGTTTAAATCGCAACATGTATCCCATAATAGTAAATGCATTAATTTTCTTATTGGATGACATAGATACTTTATGTGTCCCAATAGGTCTGTGTCCCAGGTGGGATAGGATAAACGGGAAATGCACATTGGTTCCATGACTCTGATTTTAGGCATTATATATCAGCATTTTATTTATTTTCTTTCTTTTTTCTTTTTTTTTTTATTTTACAAGTCGATCCCAGTACCCTCTCCCTCTCTCCCTCCCTCCCTTCCTCTTACCCTCTCTTACCCCTCACATGCACCCTGACCACCCTCCACTCCCATCTCCCAACCCCAATTCCACATGTAGGGCAATGCCATCCAGGTGTGGTCATGTAAATCTGTCAAGTCATTTGAAGTAGGGACTTGGACTTCTCTCCTGTCTCTAGGGTGAGATCAATAACTAACTTATTCACTATCATGGAGCCCTCATCTAGTTCCTGTTGGAAACAGAAGTAAACACCCATAACTAAACACTGAGTTGAACTAGAATCCAGATGCAGACAGAGAGGACAAGACCACGCTGCAGAAAGACATAGAGACAGCTGACTTGAACAAGGAGGAGTTAACGGCCCCCAGACTGATAGCTGGGAATCCAGCATGGGACTGACTCAGATGCCCTGAAAATGGGTCTCAGCTAGAAGGATGGAGCAATTGGGACCTCAGACTGTGGAACCAGGATTTATTCCTGGTGCACAAAAGGATCTTTAGTCATTCTTTATAACAGAAAAAATAATGCATTCTTAATATAATTGACAGTGGTTTTACATTATGAAAACCTCATAGTAAAGATTGTACTTTTTCTACAGATAGAAGTTAATTACATATAAAAAATAAATAATTATACTGACAAAGTATAGAATCTTCTTAGTGATTCCTTAAATGGTAAAGAAATCTTATGTGTTTGAATACAGTGAGTGGCAAATTCACCAAGAGAAATCTGTAATGGACAAACGTTTCCTCTTAACATTTTATTTGGTTCATTGTAGATGATAATGATGGGAACAATATCCTACAAATAGATGTAGGTGATGTTTTATTGGCAGGTAGGCTGACAGAGACACATGGACCATTAGTGTGTTAACTTTTCCTATGGAGAAACAATACCTACTTATACCAGATGGACAAACAAAAGAAAGAGCAAAGTAATTCTACAAAAGTACAACTTTTTTCACCAATGCGTTTAGTGTGGGATTACTTACAACAGCGTAAGGAGTGAAAGACAGTTGCATCAACAAAATGCTTTCATACCCAGTATTGGTGAAAACTCGCAGATGCTGGAAACCTGGTGCTCAGTGCATAAAGTTCAAATAGCATGGCAGATCATAGACCTGATCATATAAATCAGATCATATAAATAATTCTATATTAGTCACATATAATTTAATTTTCTGATCAATGGCAATATTAGCTTAATTCTCAGTGTTCATTTTCTAAGGACTAAAATGATTATGTACATTTATCTTTCCTAATCAAAAATTATAAACCTTGCCTTAACTTGTGAGGTATTATACCACTAGCAGTTACTTTGAAGTGTTAAATTATGTGAAACTCATGTGCAGAGAATTTTCTGTAACCTCCTTAGAGCACATTTAATGTCATTGTTCCTCAGGCTGTAGATCACAGGATTAAGAGCTGGAGGCAACACAGTGTAGAGCACAGAAAAGAGTTTATCTGCAACTGATGGTGATTTTGAGGGTGGCTTCAGATAAACAAAACAAGCAGTAGCTATGAAAATTGTAAAAACAGTGAGGTGGGGGATGCATGTGGCAAATGCTTTGGACTGACCTTTAGTTGTAGGAATCTTCATCACAGTGGAGAAAATGTAAAAGTAAGAGATCACCACACAGATAAAGCAAGACATGCCAAGAAACATACCAAGCCCAAGACTTGCATAAATGACCACAGGAGTTTTAGAGCAGGAAATCCTTAACAATGAGGGAACATCACAGAAAAACTGTAGGATCACATTGGAGCCACAGAAATTCATGGAAAACATGCCATCTATGTATAGAATCCCAAATAGTAGCCCAGTAGCCCAGGAAACACACATCATCAACACACAGGTACAACTACTCATAATTAACTCATAGTGCAGGGGACAACAGATGGCAATGTAGCGATCATAGGACATGGCAGTCAGGATAACTGTCTCACTTGCTGAAAAGGAAGTCATGAAAAATATCTGGAAGGCACAACCTAGAATAGAAATGGAATTGATGTGAGTTATACTATTGACAAAGAAACTTGGGATTGAGACAGACATAAGGAAAATGTCTAACAGGGACAAATTCTTAAGAAAGAAGTACATGGGTGTTTGGAGCTTCAGATCCAGGGTAATTAGAGTGATGATGAGGAAGTTACTCATCAGGATTTCTAGGTACATTACCAAGAAGAACACTCCACAGACAGTCTGTAGCTCCTGGATTTCTGAAAATTCCGTAAGATTGAATTTTGTTATTCTAGTGAAGTTAGGCATCCTAGGTCCTTCAAATGCCCTGTCAAGTAGGAGAAATGAACAAAAATTGACACAGACCCCAATTATTTACACTGATGTAGAAAAATGTTCAGATGAAATAAATCCAGATCACTATAAAGGTATTTACCTGTTTCTATAGTTTCCAAACTTATCTTTCCATAAAATGGTATTCTCACTTAATATGTAAAATGTACTTTTTAAATGGAGTTCTTAATTGACCTAAGTAATAAAAATCCAGAGACAGATACAGAGGAAAATGCTGAGGGATCAGAGAGAATGAGTTAGCCATGGCCGCACATCCCTTCTTAGTGTTCCAGCAGACAAGAGAGAAGTCCCTGTTTCTCTCTGCTTCCTGTTTCCACCCAGCTATCTCACCTCTTGTCTGTCTGTAGAAAATTCCATATCACTATGGTTAGCCAGTGGCAAAATTCATTCTCTCACCTTCAGATGGACTTTATCTGTACAAGCAAGATATCTCCACACTACTTATTTATCACTTATATCATTTTACTTTACCATGTATTATAACAACCTTTAGAAAAATGATAACAGATGTAAATGGTGCTTTTCCTAATAGAAATAACTCTTTAACTGAAACTTCAATTACATTCTGTGCAACAAAGTAAAGGATAAAATGATAGATTTTCTCCCTTCTGTCTTTTATTTCCTTTGTCTTAATCTTGGGTGAGAGCACTGCTCAATTTTGCATAGCCACGCTTATCTCCAACAATTATTCAAATAATGTTAGTGTCTTTCTTATACTTATAGTATTTTTCACAAATTCCACCTTTTATTATATGTTCTGGACCTTTTGCATGGCACATGGATGCCTACATTCATTGGCTTCAGTTTTTGTTGAAGAGAAATTTTCTGCATGCAAACCCCTTAATGGTGAGCCACTAAGCAAGAGTAATCATCTCCTAAGGATCAGTTTGTCTCCTTTACAGATCATATATCTGCTGCATAAACATCTTTCAGTAAACTTGAAGTCTGATTCCCAGCAGAATTCTTTTCTCTGCATCAAATGAGAATTGATACCAATTCAGCCTTAGCATTTACCTTGATACTGATGATACTGTGCATGTTCAGAAGTGAGACAACTATAAACCAGGCCACTATTTTAACAGGAGGGCTTGAGAATCCATAGCTGTTATCCATCTTTGTTAATAAATTTGAGTTGTTCTCTCTATTTTACATACATAGTTGCCTTATATATTTATATTATCAAAAACATAATTTTACATTGTTTTTATTTGTTTCTGTATTGATTAACCACTCCTAGTTTGTTAGTTCTCTCTAAATCAGACTTCCCATAACTTGGGATTTCTAAAACAAACAATGGAAGTCTTTTTCTTAAGAAAGTAATATTGGGGCTTCTGGTATAATATCAGTATTTATCCCTAGTACATGAATGAACTTTGGGAGCTCATTCCACATTGAGGGATATTCCCTCAGTCTAGTAACATGTGGGAGGGACTGGGTCCTGCTCCAAATGATATGACAAACTTGGAAGATCCCCCACAGAAGGCTGCACCCTCCCTGGGGAGCAGAAAGGGGATGAGATGATGGTTGGTGGGGGGAACATGGGAGGATGGAGGGGTGAGGGAACTGGGAGTTACATGTCAATCAAGCTTGTTTCAAAATTAAGTTAAAATAAAATAATTTATTAATTATAAACAAAAAAGTAATATTACTCATCACATTGCATTTATTTGCAAAATAATATTTTATAAACAGATTTGTTGATCAGTATTAATATCTTCTTAAATTCATACAATCTTAAATATTTCACATATCACTGAGTTTGTTTACAGATAAGAGCTAAGGCTTCCTAAAAAAGGGAGAATTGGATTTCCACAGTTAAGAACAAATATGTGATGTGTATATGTATTCACTGTTATACACATATACATATATGAATTCAATATCTATTAGTGAAACATAACAACAACAACAAAATGCCATGGGTTTAAAAGAGGGGGGTATATAGGTGGGCTTATAGAAGGGAAGGAAGGGAGAAATATTGCAATCAATTATCTTCTCAAAAATTAAAAAGAAATGAGAAGAGAAAATTAATAAGAAAGGCAAGGGGCAGGAGACTTGGCTCAGAAAAAAAAACAAAAACAAAGAAGCAAACAAACAAAAATTCACTTGCTTCTGTAGGAGAGGATATAATATTTCAGTTTCTAAAATTTACTTAGTAGTCCAAACTTGACAATACCACCAACTTCAAGAAACCTAAAACCTATTTGACTTGGTTGTAGGCACCAGACATGCAAAATAAAAACAGGCATAAAAAAATCCCTCAAACACTCACAAAATAAATATAATAGGTATGTATTAAATTAAGAAGATAATTTATATAACCTTTTGTGAGCTGTTTACCTACACACATTTGTAGTGCAGACATGTGAAAATTCCGTGCTGTTTTGCTTGTAAAAGAATCTTGACAAATAAACAAATAAAAATACTTCCTCCATTTGTTCCTCCATATTTTTCTTCATCAGATCATATTTTCTTTAATCATGTTTTAGCAAAATCGAACTTACTATGTATTCTATGTATATTTAAGCTATATTTGTATATTTGTATTTCCCTGAAAAAAGATTAACGTTGCATATATATTTGCCATGGTACTAAATGATAGTGTACAAAATGTGCAGCAGTGGAATGCTTGTTCTCCCAAGGAGGAGGTGAAATATCAGTACTTAAAAATAATACACAAAAAGCAAGCAAAATCCTAGGACAGTGATATAACAAATTTTACAGATAAGCTATATGACTGCTTAATTTAAAGAAAAGACTTCAATTCACACCAAATTCAGAGGACAAATAAACAGGACATATATCCCCAGAGAAGATATTTTAACAAGAATAGTTCTAGTATGAAATAAAGATAGGTCTTGCTTAGTTCATTTAGGAAGAAGCAGTAGTGAATGGGGAGAAAGTGTGGTAGGAAGGTAAGAATTATGATGACCTTTGCCAACCCATGGAAACAATGAAGATAAGAAATGAAAAAATACAATAGCAGTGAAGAAATCACTTATAAATTACATTATTTTTGATATATATATTCTAATTCATTAATTTTCATAATCTATGTGAGACCTAAAATCTTTTTTGGAACAAAGCACTTTTATATTTTATCATCAGAAATTTAAAGCAATTTTGGTTCCTCAAATTCCTGGAAAAGAGATTAGTCACAGACTTACAGAAGAAGACTTTCCAAAAATTCCTATTTAGGAGCCAAAATTTCTCATAGACATTAACATTCAAATTATTGGTGGATCACCAAAAGCTTGCAAATTCTGTAATCATAACAAATGGTAATGATTTACACTTCCAATATGACTCAAAAATCTATCAAAGCTGTAATCATTTCTTAATGCAGAATAAAGCAGATACAAAGAAGAGAATAATTTATCGTCTTACAAATTTTGGTTAGATTTCCTTTGAAGCACTGTGTAATCCAAAGTTCCCTAGTAGATCTTTTAAGGCACTTGTCTGCAATCTTAAGATTCCCAAAGGAAAAATGTTTCTGAATAGACTTTCTTATTATTTACCTTTCTCTTGTGACAATTAGTGTAATAATAATTGGTGCTTTTTGTAGGAGGGACTGATTAGTTCCCTGAAAATATGCCAGAATCGATCATGAAGAACACAGCGTACACACTTCCCAGGATATTATTAAACTCTAAATTAGGCTGTAAAAAAAGTTATTATAGTTGTTAGTAAATATTGGTGTGTATTTAGTAATTTTACCTAAGGATTCTTGCAATATATTTGTCATTAGTTGTTTTTATCATTATTATAAAAATACATAAAACATAAAACACATCTTAAAGTAAACAAGGTTTATTTGTGCTCATGTGTGAGTGCACAAATACATCATGATAGAGAAAGCACGATGTCAGAACTATTGGGTGGCATGTACATTGTTCCTAAATTATGAAGTAAGAACTCACATGCTAGGACTCTGATAATACTTGGCTCACTCTTTTCCTCTTTATTCACTTAAGGACAAAAGTGAACAGAATGGTACCTCGAACACAGGTAGTCCACTTTCCAGCCATTCAGTATTGTTTGGAAAGTCCATCATGAACATGACAAATATTTACTTCTGTCATTCTAAATAACACAATTTTGTGAATTATTATGAATCATGAAAGTTTCATCCTTTGCCAGTTAGACACCCAAACATGTTTAGACCATTTCACACCTTATGTCTAAAGTTTTATATTTGTTTCATCATGTAAAATTCAATTAGTCTTTCATTTAATGTTCATAGTTTTAACAGCACTAATATTTTTCAGGAATCTACTGTTCGAATTTCTTGGGGAACTATGTAGTCCTAGAAACAGTGAGACTGTATAAAATGAAAGTATTAGTTACATACATCAAATATACAATGGAACAGTATAAACATGCCCATTCCAAATGCATGAGGCAGGCAGTGCAGGCAGTGCAAACAAGGAAAACTGCTTTAAAACAAACCTAAATCATCAGAAAAATACCATACACTGCAGCTACATTTCTGATATTTGAGACTTATAATGGTATCATTTGGGCTTCTGTACTGCTAGGCAACCCCAAAATACTAGCTCTGCCATCTCCAGCAATATGGCTTCTTATTTAAGCTGGTTCCTTTCTGTGCTTGCAGTTTTCTGTGATAGATTGCTCTGAGTGCTGCTATCATCAACATTCTGAGAATTCCATTGAAAGTTTGGCTTTACTTTCTAGGTGTGTGCAGTGGTCTTTTTTTTAATTATTTATTTTTTATTTTACATGTCGATCCCAGTTCCCTCACTCTCCCTCCATCCCTACCTGCCTCCCTTCTTCTTACCTTTCTTCCCCCTCACATGCACCCTGACCACCCTCCCCTCCCATTCCCCTACCCCAATTCCACATGTAGAGTGATGCCATCCAGGTGTGGTCATATAAATCTGTCAAGTCATTTGAAGTAGGGACTAGGACTTCTCTCCTGTCTCTAGGTTAAGGCA